AACTTTCTCATTTTGTGGCCTTTAAGAAGTAGAAGAACCTTTGGAATCTCCTGTGCCATCTGAGCCAAAAAGCGATAATTATTCACCAGGTATCACCAGATTCTTGAGTAACTCAGCTCGTGCGGGCTTGCACATCATCCAATCATCCCCAGCATCTACCTTCTTCCCAAGTCTTAATCACGAAAAGGATCAAACCCAACTGTTGATGTCCCCTACTTAATTCCTGGAAGGGAAAAGACTAAGAATGGTTGGGAAGGCCTTAGCCACACAAAAACCCTCTCCTCAGGCCAAGAGATGTTGAGGCGAGCCGCGTCACGAGACAAGCGCTCGAAGTAAGGCCTGACCGTTGGGGCTCGGATGTGATCAGACGCGAACAACATCGAATACATTGGTTTCCAAAAAAAAGCGAGGAAAGGCATGGACAGCTGATAGAATAGAACAGCTCCTTTCTTGATAGTTTCATACTGTTTGCTTTTTGTATTGTGTTAAATCATCATCATAGCTAACTAAAGGCAAGCCTGAATCATGTTGTTGGCTGGTACGGAATCTGCGTGATTCTATCAACCCTTGAAGTCCCGACCAAGCGTGGACACCAACATAGTGGGGGTCACCTTTGAACAAGAGTTAACTTACTCTCTGCTTAACCACCGTAGAAACAGCAAATGGATTATTTTTTTAATTTTTTTCACGTTAGTGGACCTGTCCTGAATCATCGTTGCACGATCTGTCCTTCACAAAGGGTGTCCTTCACCATCGAGGTGGTGTCTGGCAAAGCGTGCCCATGATCAGGTTGAAAGTTGAAAGGCTGCAAAATCCTACAATCCACAAATACATCCATACATCCACATATATAAAACATTATAAAACCCACAAAAGGCATCAAACACCCTTTCTATTTTTCAAGTTCCTCTATACATTCACAAACAAGTCACCTTTAGTCTCACGACGAGTCCTTGCTGCTGCGACTCTGCACCCACCTGGGAGTTGCGAAGAGCGCTTCGCCATCCCAGGGAAGCCTGAAAAGGAGCCACAGTCACGTCCTTGTGCCACCTACTCACCCCAATGGTATGAAACGATGTGGCTCAAAGCATGAATCAACCAAAGGTCATCCGCAGTAGGTGCTTCTGTTTTCGTCTTCCAATAGATGACTCCAGTGACTCTTACTATGTAGCCCCACTCCGACCATGAGAAAAGTGGACAAGTAAAAGTCCTGAACAAAAACACGTTGGACACGGTACCAGTGTCCATTTGGGAATCATTCATGCTGCAGAGAGATGGGAAACGTAAAAAGAATCCAGATTCCACGACCCCAAACCCTAAACCAAGGGTAGGAGGAGAACTTTCTCCTCCAAACCCTATCCAAACATCTGTTTGCAGCGGGCTGGAACTCCTCACTTCCCAACATCTAGCAGGATGCGCTCGTCTGTTAAACGTGTTGAAACGCTTAAAATTTAGAATATGACAGCATCCCCTATTAAGTATTTCCTCCACCCATGTTCGCTTCTACTTCTGCAGCCATGGTTGCGTCGTAAAGACCAACTTGGCCGCTTCCGCTGCATCGCGCGGCACATCAGCATGGTCTGGATCCATGAAACCCCGCCGTGCTGATAAACTGCAGTTCATGTCAGTAGTTTAAGTTTGCTGGGTTCCGCTTACTTCGTCTAGTTCAGCTGTGAATCGTTGTTAATTAGTCGGGGAATGGGACTGCACAACTCTCCAAGTCAGATGCCAAATGCGCGTGTTAAAGCCCTGTGGGGCGTCTGCGGGCTGTCCGAGGTTCAATCTCTGTTGACCGAACTCAGGCTCCAAAACCCTCAGAGAGTTTGATGATCGCATTGCGATGCATTGCGTGTCAACGAGCTGCGGTAGTTGGCCGAAGGGAGCGTACTAGTATAAGCAATTCCGTGAAATTGGCAGGAAACATTGTGTCCTCGTTGGTTCAAAAGGTACTGACTTGAGCCTACCCCTCACATATCCTCACACGGTGCTTCTGCATAGCTCATATTGCATCATGTGAAACTCAGCTGTCTAGGAGCCAAAACAATCAATGCAGCGAGCAAATGTACAAATGGCGTGATTTCAAGATCGTGACGCATGAAGGAATTCCTTTCCGAAAGTGACTGCTCCATCTCACATGTGTCTTATCACTACCAAGCCTTTGATCGCTGACAGCCTCTTTGACCAATCGTCAAGCGTGCCACTGTTGCTAACATGGTTATAAAGTTATACGGTTATACATGCAAGTTCAATGACATTCCGAATCTCGTGTGCAACCAATAAGGATCTTTACAAAGGATCTTCACAAAGGGTAGTCCCAACCCCACCTACTTCAGCATCCTTTAGCCAAGTACGATCGCGATAGATGATAGACCATCAAGACCAGCAAACCATCGCCAGGTACGATCGTGAGTAGCTACGTGTTTCGTTATGTCTCATTGACAAAATTGAATAGCAGGTGGAATTCATGAACAAACACTAATAGACTCTTTGATACCATTATTTTTCCATCTGCAAACCCGGTTCATCCAGGCTTGGGTTGGAGTGGTTTTCGGAGAGACGCCTCTCTCACTTGAAAACCCACCCATGTGATAGCAAGCGCCCGAGGCTTTCTTTCGCACCCTCAGCACCCACCAAACTCCGAATAGAGGCTTGAAAGGTTATTGAAGGACTTGGCAAGCTGAAGGGCTGTCTTGGGTGGTCTTTGCAATGCTGGGCAACGTTTGAATCACCCAGCAGAAGTGCAGAACAGAATTACCCAAACACACACACACATGGTACTGCTTGCACCATTTGTTGTGCAAATATATTTAGATTGGCAAACTAAACTGAGAACTAAGGTGGACAAGAGGTTGAATATGGTTAAATGATGTTAAATGTATTGTTTCGTCTTGACAAGATGCAGTGCATTCAAGGATTTTCATTGACCAGCTACAGTGGGTATGATGGTATGATTCTCTACCGTCCCTCCGCCCCACAAACGTTTCTGGCCAAACTATACACACATATTATATATACTCATTACAGTATACATTCTTCGTACAAATCCTCCAACAAATTGAACCTCCTAGTCCTTGATGGAGCCTCCGCCAGCTGCTTCTTTAGCTGCACCTCGTCTGCGGCACTGCGCCTCGAGATCGATTCCGATGAAGCGGGACCAAAGCAATGTTGAAACATGTCGAAACCGGGTAATGACTATAGTCGTAGACATGCTACCTGGGAGATAGTCTACATGGAAGCCGGGAAGATACAATGTGCATATAGAATTTTGCAAGGACAATTTTTAGATGAACATTTGCAGATCGTTTAGACATGTTGAATCTTCCAGTCCGCCTGAAGTTTGAATGCAGCATCCACCATTAGATGCGCTGAATGTCAACAATTTCAGACATGGCTCAAGCAAATACTCAGGAAAACCGATGAAAAAAGCTGCTTGGACTGAATAGCAAGCTTCCTTACCCAAACCTTCGCAAGTCGGTTGCCTATTGCTTCACTGCCTTCAATTCGTCTCATTTCCCTTGCTTTTCAAAGACACATTCAGGGTACAGGTCCGCTTGTGAACTTGTGAAGTCATCCCCCTTCCTTTGTCCCTTATATGTACTGCATCGTCACTGTATCTTGTTTTTCCTTCGTTCGGAGGTTTCTACCCGTTCTTCACTGCCATCCCTTTGTACTGCCTATTTGTTTCCTCACTATCCCGTGTCTTCATCACATTCTAGGCGTGGACCTTCTTATTTCCATTCATTTCCTTTTTCTCAGCCTTAAAGGAGATCTTTGAAGGGAAAGGGCAACAAACATGGCAAGGGAAGTGCACACTCGGAATGCACCACAATCACAATGGAAAGCATTAAAACGGCACCACAAGCGACTGTGTCCGGAAGCTGTGGGGAGGGAAACGGCTAGCGGCTAGGACAACTGCACAGCGTCAACGAGGCTTGTGAAAGGGATGGAAAAAACAGGGAAGAACATCACAAAGAAATGGGCAGGGCAGGAAAAAGAAGGGGAAGGAAAGGGAAAGAACAGAAGGGAGCGGGAATGTCACACACACACAGCGAAATGGAAGGGAAACACTTGGAATGTAGCGACCTAAAAGCGAAAATCTCACGCGTAGGCCTTGTCCAGGAGTTTTCTTTTGCGGCTGGAATTTCGAACGGTTGAGAAGCAGAAAAGGCATAGCTAAATGACTGGGTGGAAAGGGAAGAACAGGGCGCTAAAGAGAAGGGAAGAGTGCAAGGGAACAGGAACGGACCACACACAGAGTCGCCGGAATAGAAGGGAAAGGACACGAAGAACCATGAATCAAGCATATGCGTAGACCAAGTCCGGCTTTTTAGAGAAAGGGCAAACAAAATATTGCTGTATGCACCAGAGCAAACATAATATCATGGTGAGCCCTCCATTCCACAATGTCAAACCCTTGCGTACTGGCGGCCCGATTTGCATTGGTCTCTAAATTCCAGTGCTTGAACAACTTGTGCAGACTTGGGAAGGGAATAAATCTGTGCAGCGTCCTTGTCTATGAGTTTATGGTGGGACAATTTTAAAAACCACCCAACCACACGTGCATTCAAACCGCAAACCAGAGGTAAAATCAGTGCAGGCCAGGTGTGGACAAACAAACAACGTGTTTCATCCATCTCACCTTGGGGGTGAGCGATCCCATATCCCGCACGACCTAACCCTTACCTTTGACATCCTTCAGCTCCGGGCACCCCGGCCGCCCCAGATGAGTGCCGTAGAAGCCCAGCTGGGCGGCCTTGGGGGTTCGAAGACCGAGACCTCAGCGGAGCCGTGATGAAAGATCCACAAAACGATGGGTCAAACGCATCCACAAGATTGCGTGGTCCATAACAATCTTGACAACCAGGTCCTGCTCCGGACCAGAAAGGAACAAGAACTTCGGGAAGCCCACATTCCCCGAACAATGGCCTTGCAGCATTGCAGTTCTTCAAATGTTCCAAGACTACAAGGTACGCTTTCTCCACATAGCTGACAGCATCCTTTTCTGCCACTGAATGGGACGGGACTCTTTTCTCCTGATATCGACCGTCGCTGTTCATCAGTCGTTGCTGGCCGAAGGAAGGTTCTTAGCCAGCCAATTTTTTGCTGAGCATCGCCTCGTACAGTGGGATCAGCACCTCATGCAATGGGTCGATCGCAATCGTCGATCCAGGTCAGCGACAGTCAGCCACACTTTCATCGGTTTTGCGGTCACAATCCCAGGCAAAAACTATGCAACACACAGCATTGTGGAATACAAATTCCTGGACATTGGGTCAGGGCCGATTTGGACTGCCTCGGTGTGACTCAATTGTGGGTGTACCAAGAAGGCTGTTTGGTAAAAGGAACCGCCTCCTCGGTGTCCTTTTCTGAGCCAAACACCTGGACTTAAGTCGCTTTAGTCGGACCTGACTGGCCCTTGAAAGAACCACCATGAGAATGATCAACATACTTCTTCTTACCCTCAAAAAAGCATGGACCCTAATCTCCTTGATCATCACTATAATTAACATCTCTCCCCATCCTTTTCACTTTCTCCTTCCTCCATCTCTCCGGGCTGCCTTACATTGCTTTAAACGGTTTTTGGACGTGTTCTTCGTACATCCACCTTGAAACTCACCGGCGCCGCTGCGGCTCCGCCTGCCCGATGCGGCCAGGCCACGGCTGCTTCGGTTCGAATGGCCACCTTCACCTGGCGACTCGCGCCGCTCACAGTGACCTCCGAGAGCACGCTGCAGTTGTTCACCGTCTGCGCTGAGGTGTACAGCAGCACGGAGCCATCATCCAGCCTCGTTCGACAAAAAAGAATGCAAGAACGCACCCATGGGTAGGGAGGTTGAAAAGGGATCACCAGGCTGTAATAACACTGTATATGCATAATATATATATATAAGGAGGTTTCGAAAAGTTTAGTTCTTTCATGGGTTTGGTCTTTTCAGTTTTGGTGGTGGAAGATTGGCCTTGGACTGCCTAAGGGAATCACAGGCTCAAGGGTTCAGGAAACCGGTTGTGGGGTGTCATGAAGCGCCCGGCGTCAAAGAAGCCTGCAGCTGCAAGCAGAAAGAGACCAGCATTAAGGACTGTGCTGGAAAGAAGGGGGTCTGCAAAGGGACTGGGTCATGTTTGCAAAGACCGCTCCTGTTTACCATGAAGAGTGGGGTGGACTTAGGAAATTTGAAGGCATAAAGAACAATCAGTTGATATATTAATGATCCTGAGACCCCATACTCTACTCTACCAGTGTTGTGCCCAATACTTACTGTGTGGATGTGCATTTCAATACACCTTCCACAACAGTTGCCATGAGTATGTCATCGAAAACATGTCTGGGTTAATTCAACCCATGGCAAGCCTGCAGCGTCGGCTCACAATACCATGCCAAAGCATGTGAAAACGTGTGAGCTTTTGGAGAGAAGATGTCGGTGTGGAGCAGGCGCATGCTTCATTCAATTTCAAGACAACATTGATGCAGTTTTAGCGGAGCGCGCTCGATTCACTGGACTGGATGAACACGTGAAAGCAGCGCGGCTGCACCATGCAAGTAGATTTGTTCCACAAACATTTGGGGGGCCAGAACTACACACTGATTCAGAGATTCAATACTGTAGACGTTTTTATATATACGCTATATATTATATATAGTCTATTGCTTTGATCCTCCTGCCAGAATCTTTTTTGAGCAAGGACGCTTTGCTGCGGAAATGGTACAATTTATCGAATGAGGAGTTTGCAGATGGTGAAATAGATCCCTCCTCGGAGATCTTGTTGCAGAGTGATTCAGATGATGCCTGCAACAATGTTTTGTTGCAAACAGACTCTGAAGATGAGAACCGTGTTGTGATAGCTTCAGATGTTGAAAGTGATGGTTGTGATGATGTGCAAGGCCTTTTGCAAGAATCCTCAACAGAGGAACCGGTCGAGCAACCTCCTGCCAAAAAGCGCAGGTACCAATCCCGAACACAGACTATGAATCTCAAGTTTCTGCAGAAGCCTGTTTGCAAACAGGCTCACATGAGACTTTATGGGATTGGATCATCTGCCTTACAAAATGTCAGAAGTGGAAGGCAAGCCTTCATCAAGGGTGACAGCCGGTTGAAGGAGCCCAAACACCCAAGTTTGGGAGTATCCTTGGGTCGCAGCTCCATCAATACCAAATGGCCCAGTATACTAAGTTTCTTTTGGTTGCTCTACATCAGCGTGGCAGAGATCATGCCCACAAAATTTGTCATTGCTGGAGCATACACTGAGAGTTTCATTGAGAAAGACCCAGACTTCCAAGAACGCTATACTCGAGCATTCATGACTACGATAGAGAAACACTTTGACTTGAGTCCAGTAGCTTGGGTTTAACTTTTGGAATGGTTTGGTTTTATGTTTGCTGACACCCCAAGAAAGAGTCACCTCCCAAGAACATTGATTTTTACCCCTTGGAATTCAGATGTTGTGGTTCTTCACGAACCACCATTGTTCATCGGTCGTTGCACGTTAACCTCAAGGATTGAAACCAATAAGTCAACAGTTTATGTTTTGACATAGGAAACATGTTAATAAGCTGGTTGATTCTCAACAGTGAGGCTACTGCGTCTGGGCCGGGAACTTTTGATGGTCCTCGACGCTACCTAGAATGGGCCCGACCGGTGGATTTGTATCTTCAGTACCAGCAGTATGCTGAATCCACTGGGCAAAGCATTGCTTCATTCACTACGTTTCTTCGATTGATGAAAGCTATATTTCAGCATCACCTGCGATTCAGGGACAAAGCTGAACATGCCCAATGTGATGTATGTCACAAACTTCGCAGCAAAATCCGCAAGTCTAAAACGAAGCCTGAGAAGGATGCTGCAACCCAATCCTACTCCAAACATTTGCTTAGCCAGTGGCTGGACAGACAGCGGTATTGGTCAATGCGTACATTGTCACGGCATTTCTTTGCGCAGGAACTGCACTTTGCAAAGAAGTTTTCACAATCAGATCTGAAGAGTAGCCTCCTTACATGCATTCAAGACGGGATGGATCAAAGTAAACTGAGAATCCCAAGAAATGGCTACCAACGGATATCAAAAGCTATGGAAAAACTCTACAGACCAGCATTACACCTGGTAGGAACTTGGTTCCATGGGTGGTCGCTGAGATTGTCAATCACAGATGAAGATTGCAAGAAAGATTCACAAACCATGCTGGAGTTGATAACTTTGGGCCTGTGCAACCTGGTGGACACTACCAATTCCCTTCCACTGATGTTTCATCTGCAGCAGGACAATTGTGCAAGGGAGGGAAAGAACCGCTGGGTCGTCGCATACATGCTCCTGCTTGTCATCCTCAAAATCTTTCGAGGAACAAGCATGGGGTTCCTTCGCACGGCTCATTCCCATGAGGATATTGACCAGTGTTTCGGTCAGATCTCACGTCTACTCATGGGCAAGCGGTGTGGATCAGCGGATGAAATGGTTGCCCTGTTAGCTGATGCTACCATGGGTGGCCGTGGTGATGATGGTGCCAAAAGTCGTTTAAGAGCTTCCATGGTTGATTGTTTCAAGCTTGATGAAGTCTCTATATGGAAAGCATTCACGGAGCAAGTTGGCCTACGATTCAAAGGACTTCGTCGTGTACATTTTTTCCGTTTTTGCTTGAGACAGGATATGGGAGCTGATGTTTTGGACAACGTGGCAGAAATCGAAGAGTTGCACCCAAAGTTTCGCCCACACCCGGAGGACATTTTCTTGGTCACAAAGAGGTGGCTAGCAGATACTGAGATTGCAGGGGCCATTGCACTAGTGCCGGCTTCCAGAGCTAAAGAAATTCGGGAAGGGTTTCATCCACCTGCAGGACTTGCTGCTCGAAGAACCATTACTGACAAAGTCAAGAAGAATCTTCGGAAGCATGTTACTGAGCTTCGGCGCAAAGGGGAGATGGATGCTGAATCTGGAGACTACCTTTTGCATTGGTGCGCTGGAACGTTGCAGCGGAAACCCAAGCCAGTGTTGTATTCGATACTTCAGTATCGCTACACCCAGCGACGATCAGAAGTTCACCAACCTGGCACTTGGAGAATTCCCAACAGGGTCACTCATCATGACTTGACCCTGGCACGGGAGGACGTTGGTCAACGCAGTGATGACAGTTCCTCCAATGATGATGAAGCAATTGATTTGGCGGCTGGTATGGACTTTTGAGAAAATAAACGATGTGTTGGGCCTGATTGACTGATTGAATCCTTTTTGCAATGTATCGCCAGCTCTGTTCTTTTGCCTGGGGATGGGAGGGATGTCAGCGCGATAAGGACTTTCAAGAATGTTCATGGCTTGTGTTCTGCCAATGTAATGTCCAGAATACAGAAATCCTTACCTTACCACCATCCTTACCCTTCATTGCTGGGGTCCTTTTTTTGATCATACCACATGTTGAAATTTTGGGTCTTTGTTGATCATCAATTTCTGGGGTGACTGATTGAGTGATTCCCTGAGTTTTTCCCTACTACAACCTACTAAATACCAAGCAACCATCATCAAAAAATGCTAGAATCTCCGGAAGTAGTTGAAAAAGACTTGCTTCTAATAGCTACTCAGTTTGAAGGACCGAAGAGAAGCAAGAACAGGAAGACCAGCATTCGGTGCTGTTAGGCACCGAGAGTGAAGGCCAGATTCGGGTGAGGGCTTTGGCCAAGAAAATGGGATGTTTAGCAATTAACATCAGCAAATTAATTTGTAGTGTGTGTTTTCTTATTATGTTTTCTTTACTTGATGCAATTGCAATGAGTCTCTATTGGTAAAGCTGTAAAGCGTTCAAAGTTTGAAGAAAGGTGACAGCGACTGTCATTGTGCAAATTGTCGAATTGTAGAACTTTGCATGGAACTTTAAAACTTAATTCATTGATGCCATTATCATTGAATTGCCTTCCTCCTGTCACTTGCAGGAGGTTCCTGTGATGATCATTCTGGCGAATTGCTGTTGGCGTCGGATGATGAGTCCATGGACCCGGATGCTGCAAGTGCTTCGCACGACCAGGGGGAACCCAATGTTCCTGGCTTTGAAAAATCACTTTTGTGGTAAGTCGTGTTTTCTATTGGCAGGTTGAGGGAGGTTGTGTTAAGGAAATTTCATGAAATTCAGATCTCACTGACTGATTTGCCTCCACTTTCAACTCAGTTTACTGAGGTTTACCGTTTTGTGAACGACTTCCTGCAGCTCGAAAAGTTCGAGGAGTTGAGGAAACGTCTCAGCGCCACACTTCTCGCCCGGAAAGAAATTCGAATCGGCAGTTTGTTCACGGGCTGGGGTGTGTGTGAGATGGTTATGTCGGAGCTGACACGGCAATGGAACGAGCTTCACCCGGACATCGAATTTAAGGCACATGCTGACTGACAGAACAACTAACTGTTAGTAAACAAATGTCAGCCCACTCATCCAATGAATACAGGGTTTCAATTGTTGGGAATGTTCAATCCACTTGTCCATGGTTTTCTCAATTGTCAACTTTTTCACATCCCCACTTTGCCACCAATCACTGAACCCTTGAGGCAAAGGTTCTGTTCATGGCTGAGATTGACAAGCGTAAGCAGCAGTACTTGGATGCTAGGTTCACTACCTCTTGCGGCACCTTTGCTGATGCGAGGGACCTTGCCAAAGATCGTGCTCGAACTGCTGATGGGTCCTTTCAGTCGGTTCCCGGTGTTTCTAGCTTGGAACTGTGCAACTTTCATTGTTGGATGCAGGTCAATCCACTGTTCCTTCAGGATTTTTGTTGAAGGACATTCAATTCATTCCGTTATTCAGATGTTTTATTTGATGA